ATGAGTCAATAGCAGTCGTGTTGTAAAAAAAAACAATTTAGCTCAACGGAACATCAACCAAAGTGGTCGCATAGGTACACATGGCTGTGACATGGAGGATCGATAGCGTCGCAACGTTGGATGAGAATGCGCAGACCGAATTTGTGGTTGGCGTTTTTTGCACTACTAACCAGTCACTTTGGAAAGGGGTTCTGTACGAACGCGCCGTGAGTCCGTACCACAGCTTACATAGTGTAGCCAGTACCTTCCCTAATTGAGCACAAGGCTGTTCTACCCTATGTTAGTGGGAAATGAACATTTCGGTCTGAGGAGCTGAGGAACATTCGAGTAAGTGACCATCATTGCCAACGGAGGATCTTTCGTGGTGTACACCTGCATATTCATCATCATCATCATCATCATTACACGTTAGCTGGAGGTGGAAAACACCTCAGCTATTGTGCCGCAATACAAAAGGCAAGAAAAGAAAAAAACAAACAAACAGTGGCACGCCCGCTGAGTCCCCAGTAACGGATGGACATCGTTCCGGAGAGCTAACAGCTGGCTGCCGTAAAAGAAAGTCATATTATGCCTAACGATTGAGATCGTGATTGGAGGGGGATGCTAAACAGGAGGGGGATGGACAAAGGAACTCACAACACAAACGCCATTGGGGCCGGCTCCTAGCCATATCAGCAAGTGTGTCCAGCCAAACGTGTTCACCGTCCTTAGGACCCCAGCCAGGCAGTCGGGATGCACCAACCGACGCCAACTTCGAAGTGAGGGTTTTCATTTCTCGCGACCAAGTCATCACTTGGCCTCCCCTCCTCCTCTTCCAACCGCACCCACAACGCGCAAACAATGCACGTCGTGGGAGTCGGTGTGCTGGCATGCGCAAGACGTGGCCCAGCCATCGGAGCCTGGTGCGTGATATAATCGTGCTGAGCGGTTCACTCGCTCTTCCTGCACCAAATACGCGACGTCGAACACGCTCATTGCTCACGCGGTGTTCCCACCAGACATGAGCTAAGCTGCGAAGGCAGCGATGATCGAACGTGACGAGTCTCTTCATGTCTGTCGACCTGATGGGCCAGGTTTCACAGCCATATAGGAGAGTTGAACGGACGGCTGCGTTGTAAACTCTGCCCTTGAGGGCGAGAGTAATGTCGCGTCTGCGCCACAGGTGGCGGAGATTGGCAAAAGCACCTCGAGCTTTTGCTATACGGTTCGTAACCTCATCTTCAATCCCACGGGTGCTAATATAGCTGCCCAGGTACTTGAATTCCTGAACGACTTCTAGCAGATCACCACCAAGCGTTAGCGCAGGATTGGGTCCCTGCCAATCTTGGAGAAGTACTTTGCATTTTGATGGAGCAAAGCATAGCCCAAAACGACTGACAGCCAGTGCTAATCGGTTCAGTGCTGTTTGGCATGTTTGGGAGCCGTCACAGATTAGGGCAATATCGTCTGCATACTCCAAGTCAAGAAGTCGCTCACCAGGGAGTAGCTCCACACCTTCTAGGTCGTGTTCAGCGAACGCTGTTTCCATGACTTCATCAATAGCGAAGTTGAAGAGGAAAGGCGACAGCGGGCATCCTTGTCTCACACCGCTGGTGATACTGAAGGGTGGCGAGAGTTTGCCATAAACCCTCACCCTGCCCGAACTATGTGCGTACAGCGCTTTGATAATGTTTACATATTTATCAGGCACACCTTTCCTCAACAGACAGTCCCAAAGGGCACATCGATCGACTGAGTCGAAGGCACCTTTTATGTCAAGAAACACGACAACGGTGGGTCGCCAATAAATATGGCGGTGCTCCAACACTTGACGCAATGTGAAGATGTGGTCGATGCAGCCCCGACCTCGACGAAATCCGGCTTGCTCTTCACGAATTTGGCTTTCACGAGTGCCAGTCAGTCTGTGGAGAATGAGAGAGGCAAGCAATTTAGAGGCAATCGAAATCAGACTGATCCCTCTATGATTGCCACATACCAAACGGGAGCCTCCCTTGAAAATTGGGACAATGACGGAGCGGTTCCAGTCTGTCGGGACTGTCTCCTGCTCCCAAAGTTTTACTAGCAACTCGTGTAGATCACCTATTAGAGCAGGTCCACCGAACTTGAAGAGGGCTGGAGGAATAGTATCTGCTCCTGCGGCCTTATGCAATTTCAACAGCCTGATCTCACGTTCGACTTCTGCGCGTGAGGGCGGATCCAAGGAGACGGCCCAAGGAGAAGGGCGCTCAATGCCCGAAGAAAGTGATAACTCAGGTTGGTTAAATTGCATAGCAAAGTGTTCAGCCCAACGCTCCAAGCGTTTTGACAGGCTGTGGATCATCTGCCCACTCTCGTCGCGTATGGTCTCGCTAACACCAGGTCTCCTGCTGCCTGTTGCCCGTATCAGACGGTATAACTTACGATGATTACCAATGGCAGCGGCTGTTTCCATCTCAGATGCACGATGAGACCACCAGGTTTCGCGGTCCTTCTTTAGGCTAGCACGTAGTTTCGCCCTGAGATTTTTGCGAGATTCATTGTATTCGCTTCCAGCCGGAATACGTCGGCGAGCATCCATAAGTTCCAGAGACTGTGTAGAGACCCAATGTCCGGTTTTGCAATTTGTTTTGCCACATGAAGACATGCCTGCTAATAGCAACGCTTGACGAGTGTGCGACCAGTGATCTTCAACGGTGTTTAGTGGGCGCTTACTCAGCCCAGATGTCAGCGCATCTTGGTACACATTCAGAACATCTGGCTTCGCCAGCTGGCTGGTGTCAATCCGTTCACATCGACGTCGCGGACGTCCACCGAAACGCACCAGGAGGTCGGCACATACAAGTGCGTGGTCAGAGTCCACGCTCGTGCTCCAAATCGAGCGACAGTTTTGGACACAGCCTCTCCAGCGGTAACTGATCGCGATATGATCGATTTGCGTCCATGACTGGCCCGAGGCTGGTGGCCGCCAAGTCACACTTCTGCGGGTGCTGTGTCGAAAATTAGTGCTCGCGAGAAACAGGCGAGCATCTTCACACAGCTGGAGCAATCGCTCACCATTATCATTACGGGAGCCTACACCATGTTGGCCGCCCAGATGAAGCTCATCAGAGGACAATTTTCCGACTTGGGCGTTTAGATCGCCAGCCAGCACCACAGTATCCGTGCTTCTTCGGTAACGAAGGAGCTCGTGAAGTTGCTGGTAGAAATCATCTTTTACCGAATCAGTGCTACAGTTTGTAGGGGCGTAGGCCGCAATGACAAACAGGCACCGTTTGTCCCCGCGCGACTTCGAAGCACGGAACGAGCCAGCTAATCTAACGGCGCACATCCTACTGTTTACTGGGATCCAATCAAGCAGGGCAGCTTCAGCCCGGGGACTCAAAACAATGCCGACGCCGGCTTGACCGGCATTTGAAGCTGCATCATCGCCAGATAGGCGCAATGAGAATGTGCCGCCAGTGTCGCATGTGGGGGATCTCAGGGTAAGCACGGAGCTCGAATCTTGCAGGCGGGTTTCTGATAAACAGCAAATATCGATCGATAGGGTCTCTAGTGTGCGGGCAAGTGCTGCCTGTTGGCCAATCTGCAGCAAAGTGCGCACGTTGAGGCATGCCAATCTTAGCGAGACACGAGGACTCCAAAGGGAAACGGATGAACTGACGTTGTCCGCTTGGTTGAACATGGACTTATCGACTGGATTGGAGCGAGGCCCTGCGATTGTGTGTGATTTGAAATTAGAAGACAAGCGACTATTGAAGTAAGCTGGGGGAGGGCCAAGAATTGGGGGATTGAAAATGGGGGGGATATAAGTAAAGTTGGAGCGGGACAATAAGGATGCAGAAGCGCAAGAAGGGGTATAAGAAGACGGGAAGGCCTGAGCAGTAGCATCCAAACCCCTATCCACCCTGCTCGATGCAGCAGATAGGGCGCCGTTTATTATCCTCTGCGACGGCCAGAGCATCAAGAAATTGTTGTAGGAAAGGTTCATTGTATTGCGTGGGCAGAATACTGTCAGGTTGCCCAGGCCTAGACAGGAGAACGATTAGGGTTCTCAACCAAAGCCTTTGGTTCAAAAACCTTACCGCAAGGCAGCGGGTTTTGGCACTGGACTACAGAGCCCGTTTTATGAAATGAGGAGCCACCCCCATTCCAACCCCCAACCTGGAGGACCAGGAGGCTGAGTTTGTCTGGCCTCTAACCATTGACCAATCTGGTATGAGTGGCTCTAAAGGTGCAAAAAAAAGCACCACCCAGCATAGCTCAATGGATCTCTGAGGCACGCAAACCATCGCACCACGGTAAGGTCCAGCCTCATTGCGATGGACAGCCTCATTGCGATGGACACCTGCATATTCGTAACGATGAGCCGCACACACGAGTACTAGGTGACCAAAATTGGGTTATTTCCTTAGATCAACAAGTACAAAGAAGCTGCACTAGTTCGAGCACGTGCGATCCATGTCAGCCCACTGCTTGCCGATAACCGCCGTACTTTGTCTTCCGGACGTAAAATGGTTAATGACTAGAGGGGGCAAAAGCTGAGATAGCAGCGGGAATTGGCGTTCAAATGCTACTGGTTCGTCTCGTCTTAAGGGCTGAATTCCATGTGCCCCAGTTTGGGTTTACACCGTTATTTACAGAATATGGATCGCGCCCACGGCGTGCTTGACACAATTCACTAGTCTGACCGCTCGTTACAAGGATGTCTGATGCTCCATTACCTGTGAGTTAAGACCGAGTATGACGAGGGGCAGTGACAACTGTAATGATCTTGTTCAGCCAATGTCGTATTAGTTTCACCAGTTAATTGGCTATACGTGACCATGCAACAATGGTAAGGTGTAGACTGAACAGTGAAGATTGCTTATGGCAGCTAGATAAGGTATCAGGTCCATTTTTCTTTTTTATTATTGAATGGAACCAACCGCACATCGTCGTGTCTATCTAGCATGAGAATGATCCGAAAGAAATCAACCAACACACAAAAACACAAACTTCTCAGTGCAAACATGTGTTCTCACCTGCTCGAGTGGGGATTAGGGGAATTAAGCTGTAGTGCCCCAATGTGGTGGCATAGAACGCCACCGCAGAGAATCTAGGGTCCACGATAGCCAGCAAACTAAAAGGAGGATTTAAAGGTAAAACGGATAGTGAGGACGACTGTGATAAATCATTGAAGAAAAATGGAGATTCAGGAAGTTAAATTCCATAAGGAGGTAAAGTTTAGTTTCAGCCTGTTTCAATGACTCACTACACAGAAGGTTCGAAGTAACAAACAGTGAAGCCATCTGATAAGGTCAAAAGCCTCGCCGACAAGATGATGGTACCAGTTCACGAAAAAGTGATGCAAGATGATATGATGGACCGAGTGACGAAGTGTGTCTACTACCAAACTTTTCTCCCTGTCTGCTTACATCGTAAGTACGCTGGACAGAAAAAGGGAGAAGATGTAGATCGGACCACTTGTGATGCCTCTTTGGGTAATAATAATAATGTGTCAGCAGTACGCCGTAACGGCGCTTCGCTGCCGCGCGACCACCACCAGTAGCACGCGGGCTAAGTATACCGCGAGGACGCTTACTCCTACGAGGATTCGAACCCGCACCGCAAAATTACACGACAAGCTCGTTACCTCTAGGCTACGGGCCGATTCCCTAGCTGGTTAAGGAACACATTCTGCACCGGAGGCTGACAGACACAACGACGATCCCAGTGTGTCACCGTCGCTTACAAGTGGCGCGCATGGACAAAGTAGGAAGTGTGCAATCCGAAATGTGACTGTCTACATGATTGCCGGATGAATCGATGGAACTAGGCTGAAGATATGGCCTATATTCCCCTTGTGCATCGTAAGAGGTACCCGCCGGCAGGTGGTAGCCAGTTACGAGTGGGCGGATGTTAAGCAGCTCAGTGATGAGGTGACGCTAGGTGCAAGTTATTGAATACGAAGCAAGCAATATATGGTTGATGTCTAAAGACCTAAATGCAGTATAAATGATACCGTTAACAGCTCAGTGAGGTGAAATAGTAAAATGCAAATATAAGGGCACCATGAGAGGTAGGAAGAAAAGACAATCAGTAAAGTTGACGGGAATAGGGGTCGAATGAACGTATTATCATTTATTGGCAAGTGGGGAAATGTGAAGGTATCATGTCTAGTAGAGTCAGCAATCAGTGACTTTCTCGGTCCAAAAGACATCGCTCCAAGGGATGCAGTGAACTAACGTTGCCTAGCATATAGGTTAACCGTTCTAACCCCATGGCAAAAGTGAGGTGTAAAACTACTAAGTGTGACGCATGCTAAGGCAGGCGGCCAGTAAATGTGCAAAGAGAATGGTGCAGTCAGTACATACGATTTGAGCCCAAGAAGTGACTGAAAGTAAACCGTATATATATATATATATATATATATATATATATGATGTAGATTTACCAATTGTATGGGCAGAGAGATTCTCGGCTAAACAGGCCGAGGAAGAGGGTTGACCTAAGGGGCCACATCTGGAGCCTTTACACTTAAAGACCTGACCAGCAAGGTAGTGTAACTAGTGAAAGAACCAGTTGTGGAAACAATACAGTGTGTAAGATTACAAGAAAAATAACAAATGGGAGACACTCAATAGTCGCGATATACTTGAGAGGTAATAAGAACATCAGAACCGCCTTCTCATGCACGTGCCAACCAAATAAGAAGCAGGCCCAAGCGGCGCCAATAGTCACTTTCAAGTACTCCGCGCCCAAAAATGGGGCGTACACCGTGTCGAAAGTCAGGCTCCGCCTTGCACATTGGAATAGGTTTGGCTGGAAAGGGAGACACAAGGAGATGTTACATAAGATATGAAGTGGACTGGAGACTAGGTTTCGGGAATGTCATAGCTAAATGAAATGTGGCGGTTCGATGGGCACACGTAGGTGACAATCAATGCAATCAAGAAGCAATTGTACTGACAGATCCGTACTCTCAAGCCGAAAACACTGCCAGTCAAAAAGCAGGATACACAAGTAAGTATAGTGCTTGAGGAAGTTGAACAAGAAGGAAATGGGCAGTTGTGAATATGGGTGAGCCGAATTTTGAGTTTGATAAAGAAACAAGTCCTACATAAAATAAATAATACAGTGGACCTATATTGGAAATGCAAAGCAAAGGCTCTCCCGGTGTGCCTATACCTCTCCTAATGGTTTTAGGTAGTGGTGATGAGCAATCACTTCATCTAGTGCATGTGAGAGAACAGGTCACGGTCGATCAGCAAACGTCACCGTGAAATCGAAAGACATCATTTTTGAGACAAGTGAGAAGGTTGTTCACTCACTTAAGGGCTACAATAAAACTCTCAAAGACACTGTAATGAATCCGGTGAATGGAAAAACAAGCCAATCATAATACCGATGCGTCAAAAATGAGAATCCAATATGAACAGGTGGAGATAATGTGATCACGATATGTATTGCGTTTGCGAGGCACGGAGATCCTGCCCAAGTACAAGGCGTATTATGTCTCCGACAAGGTGTGAAGATTCAATTCAGTTCACTTACGAAAACCTGAGGAGTGAAAGCTGGAGGACGCTGACGCCATAATTCACACCAAGACGATAAATTAAGAAACAAATCAAAATTTAAAAGAAAACTAGATAAAACTGTTGTACGGAAATGGACAAAGAATCCGACGATCGCCAAATGAAAGGATTGTCATATACACGTAAGGAAAGCAATGAAAGAGGGGGGCCGACTGTTCCACTGAGAAGCACAGATGTTGGACACGACCTATAAGGTGTGGAGATGCTCTCGGGTGAGTAACTCCTAGGCGAACGACTTCTTGACTTTGATTATGCTGACGACATTGTACTCAAATGTAACAGCTCACAAACATGCCAAGCTGCACTGGACAATCAGCACTAGCTTTCAACCGTTTCGGACTTTGCTTTCCATCCTCGAAGTGCAAAGTTTACCTCCAAGATTGGTAGGGACCACCTCCTGCGCTGACGCTTGGAGAGGATCAGCTAGAAATCGTTCAGAAATGCAACTACCTAGGCTGTGGTATCAGCGCCGGTGGAATCGAAGACGAAGCATAGAGCAAAAGCTCAAGGCGCTTTTGCTAACCTTCGCCACCTGTGGCGGCGGCGCGACATCACTCTCGCTCTGAAGAGTACAATGTACAATGCAGCGCTACGTTCGAGCTTACTGTACGTTTGTGAAACCTGGCCCTTTAGATCAGCGGACATAAAGAGGCTAGTTAGGTTCGACCACCGGTGCCTTCGCAATTTGGTTCACATCTGGTGGGAACACCGAGTTAGCAACGAGCGTGTTCGACGTCTTGTTTACGGCATAGGAAAAGGAAATGAACCGCTCAGCACCGTTATTTCACGCACCAGGATCCGATGCCTTGGGCACGTGTTACGCAAGCCAGCCCGCCGATTCCCGCGATGTGTGTTGTTTGCACGCCGGGGTGTGGATGGAAGAAAAGCAGAGGTGGCAAAACAATGATTTCGTTAATAGGAGTTCGAATTTAGCCTCGGTTGGAGCTTCTCGGCTTCCTGGTTGGGTACGAAAGATGAGGAACACATTTGGATGAATACCCTTGTTGACATACCTAGGAGACGACCTCAGTGGCGTTCGTGTCGCGAGTTTCTTTGTCCCGCCCGCTTCCGTTTAGTATCACCCTCCAACCACGATCTCATTTCAGAAGGATAATACAATTCCTTTTTGCGGTCCAATAGTCTGCTGGTAGCTTTCAGGAACGATGCCCATCCGTTACTGGTGGCTCAGCTTGCGTGCTTCTGTTGTGTCCTTTTCTCTTTTCCATATATTGCGTCATAATAGCTGTGATGTTTTGCACCTCTAACTAACGTGCATAATGATGTTTGAAAATAAAACAACATATATGGAAGTCGGTAGACGAATAAATTTCGCGTTACCTTGTTAGTAGTACGGATGCGACAGAAGAAGTTTGAGGAGCAGAAGGAATGATAGAAGATAGACCCCTACGTCCGGATAGTCTATGGTCGACAACTAACTGTTACGAAAGCGAAATATAGGCATGATTCAGCAGATTGCAACAGCCTCAGCGGAACGGAGTTAGAAGTTAATGTGGCTTAACAGTTTCGGACCTCGAAGTTAGCACTATAGGGGGACCTGTGGCCATTAGGAGCTGACACACCTAAGAAACAGACAGTCTACTCAGTTAAAAAGGTTGAGGTTCGATATAAAAAGTGGACGTCTTCACGCTAAACTCGTCGAAAAACGTTCCTTAGTATAGTAATCAGTATCCAACCAGTTCCGCCTACTGGCTCAGTAGACATTAAGGAATTAGCATTTGCAGTGTCGGTGGGTTCGAAAAGCTGAGCCTTCAGTGTTAGATGGACAGGCAAATCTAAGGTTCGATTGGGGAAAATAACTGGAGAAGTTACGTAGTTGGATTTTGGAGCATCCACTGTGCGTTGGAATCCAGACGCACTACCACCACTTTGAAGCGAATCGCGGTCGTTCTAAACATTGGGGCGAAAGTAAAGACTTTTTCGGTGATGCACTTTTCCACACCGCATCTCACAACGAGGATCGTTTATGACTCTTAAGACAGTGTTCGGAGTAGAAAGCGGGACGTAGTGGCTCAAGACCGACGAAATGATCAACTATACATTGAGCTCCGAGAGCAAAGCTTGACATAACAGCCAATAAGCCGCAGTTGGGTTTGAACATAACCACTGTCTAAGCAATCTTGATTTAGCTCGAAATTCAGCTGAAAGCAGTGCGTGAATGGAAACACGTTGCAAGTGGCAAGTGAGCGACGAATGCTGTTGAGGTGCAACCCCCAACGCTATCGTCAGCATGCCATCGTTCACCAACTGTTTCCAACTATACATCGGAGGAAATCAGCAGTGTATTCACAACGAGCTGGTCCTAAAGGCAGTGTATGGCACTGGTTAGGTTTTGGGTTCACTGAGTAACATATAAATACGCCCCACCTTTAGGACACAACAGCAAGACAGCCTGTCGCAGCGCTTTTGTTGTAAAGCTGCCTTAGTACTGCTACACTGCTGCTATTCTGCGCCCGCGAGACTACGACCGCCTGATTGCTCAGTCACGCGCCCAACCAACCGAAGGGATACAGAAGGCCAAGGCTCAGTAAACAGGGAGTCTATTCTACACGACAGGTCGGTTCTATTTATTGGTGAACGAAACATACCAATTTTGGAAGTGTTTGGCTCTCAGCCAATGTGAGTTAATTCCGTCCCACGGATTTTCCATAATTGGCAGAATGGTTCGCCTCCGTTGACTCGGGCTCGTATTTGCTGGCTAATCAGTTTGCACCCGATTCGCAAATTTGGCAAAACAGTCGAAGGTCGTTCCACGCTCGTGCTGGTGACCTTCGCATGCAACAGACAGCTCACGTGCTCCGCGGTACGCCTGTGCGCGACATCGTATCTAGACATTGGCTCCGCGTACCTCTCTATTAAATCCCCCTTTAACTTGATTGCTCCTGCCAATTCTCCGCACTTGGGCTTGGTCGTAGATTTTTGACCTGGGGTCCACTTGTAGCCATCGCGGTTGCCTTCTTCTTTGACTTGGTCTGCATGTCACGTCGTGTGGCGTCTGTGTGACAGGCTGTTCCGCTTTGGAGATCAGTTCTGTTTTCTAAATCAAATGCATCCAGTAGTATGTCCCACTGTGGTGCCGCTGGTTCTTGATGTCTTTGTGTTTTGCCATGCCGCTGTCGTAGATGATTGATGTGTCTGGTGCATTTGTCCTTTCCGACCATTATTTCATAAATAACTTTACCCCTCTTTCCACTAACTGTTCCGCTAACCCATCTTTCCGGGGTCTGGAAGTTTCGTGCATACACCAAGTCGCAAATCCTGAACGTGCGAAGCATGTTATCCTGCCCCTCTCTCGGTTGTCCGTTGCGTTTTCCAACATTTCTGGGAATCAGGCTATCAAATGTCGTACTAATTTTTCGTCCAAATAGACAATCAGAAGGAGATTTACCCTCCGGTGTGTTTGGATTCGGAGTGTTTCGATACATGCTCAAAAATGGCTGAATTGCATCTCGTGACACCCTCGTTCCTTCCGCTTTGAGAAGAGCACGTTTAAAGGTATCTACAAACCGTTCGGCTTGCCCATTCGATTGTGGATGGTACAGTGGCGAAAACTTGTGATGGATTCCGTGTTGCACGCAAAATTCTCAGAACAGCGTTGAGGTGAACTGGGCTCCGTTGTCTGTAACCAGCATGTCCGGGGGGCCAAAGTAATGGAACAGTTTGTCCAGCTCATTGATAGTGTGCTGAACGGTGGGATTTTGCATCGGAATCACGTCGGACCATTGTGTGTAGGAATCAACAAAAATCAAATAAGATTGACCGTTGATTGGTTCCGCATAACCCATGTGGATTCTCTGCCAGGACTTCGACTCGGGCCAAGGGTGCCACGAACATCTCGGAGGTGCCTTTGCCGCTTGTTGACAAGATTCACAACTTTGGCAGAACTGCTCGATTTCTGCATCCATTTGAGGCCAATACACAAAACTTCGCGCCAGTGCCTTCACTCGGCTGATTCCAGGGTATCCTGAATGAAACTGCTGTAGTATTTGCTTCCGCAACTTCCTTGGTACCACGACTCGGTCTGCAAACATTAGACAATTGTCAATGACCGAAAGGGATCCACGTCGATTAAAGAAAGGTTGTAACTCATTCGAATTTCTGACATTAGGCCAACTGGACTGCACAAACCCTATCACTTTCAGCAACATATCGTCTTGAGCCGTTTCTGCACGAATCGTGTTCAACCTTACTGGCAACTCCCTTACACTGTCTACCAGGATGCGCTGAACTTCCGACTCGAAATTGACAGATGCAATCACGCAGTCATCGTTTTCCTCCAAGGGGGAACTGAGGAGGCGAGATAGAGCGTCAGCTTGGCCGAATTGTTGTGTAGATCGATATTGTATACTGAAATCGTAAGCCAGCAGTACGGTTGCCCATCTCTGTAAGCGACTTGCTGTGAAAACAGGAATACCTTTCTTCGATCCAAATATCGAGAGCAGAGGTTTGCGGTCCGTGATCAGTTTGAAATGTCTACCATATAGCATCATATGAAACCGTTTCACTGCGAAAACAATCGCCAGCGCTTCCGTCTCAATCTGGCTGTAATTTTTCTCCGCCACTGTCAGCGACCGTGCTGCGCGCGCAATGGCCTTCTCCTCCAAGAAACACGTGAGAAATGACAGCACCGACCCCATAATTAGAGGCGTCCGAAGCAATAACAATTTCCGAGTTTGGGTTGAAGTGGGTCAAAAGTAAATCAGAACTGAGCGCTGTTTTAACAATATAAAAGAATTGTTGGCACTCCTTTGTCCGTCACCATTCCCTTTCATCAGCAACTCGTTCAGAAGACCTCATGTCTGATGTATACTTGACAGGAAGGCACTATAATGACTTATAAGACCGAGAAATGAACGAAGTTCGGCAAAATCCTTGGTGGTGACATTTGCTTGACAGCTTCTATATTAGCGGGATCCGGACGTCGGCCATGTTTGTCAATGATGAATCCGAGAAACTTGACACTTTCTATCAGAAAATTGCATTTTTCCGCACGTAACCGGAAGCCAGCTTCTTCTAGACGAGTGAGCACTTTCTCTAACGTGGCCAGCAATGCTTGTGGGTCACACCCCATAAGCAATGCGTCATCCAGGTATACTGCGACCCCAGGGATGTCGTTCAGCAGCGTATCCATGATTTGTTGAAAAATGTCGGGAGCAGTTTCAATCCGAATGACAACCGATTGTATTGGAAAAAAATCCAGATACGTGTTGACCGTCAGTAGTGTTCTGCAATTCTAGGCTACTGGAATTCGTAAGTAAGCATCAGCTAGATCGAGTTTCGCAAACCATTTTCCACCGTTAAGCTTGGTGAACAAATCTTCAGGTATAGGCAAAGGGTACTGGTGGTTCTCCAACATGGAATTTAATCCGGTTGAAAAGTCAGTACAAATGCGTACCTTGCAGTTCCCTTCCTTTATCACAACGATGGGTGCCGCCTATTTTGAGTAATGTACGCGCTCGATTATGCCTTCCGACTGCAACCGATTTAACTCAGACTTCACTATTGGTTGCGTTGCGTCCGGCACTGGATGTTTTGGTCTAAAAACTGGTCTGGAGTCTGGTTTGAGGTTCAGCTCAGCTCTGGCTATCCGGCAGCATCCAAGACCGGGTTGGAACAAACCTTCGTGGCGTCGCTTCAGTTCTGCGATTTGACTGTCAAGTTCGAGGTTCATATTCTGCGTCTCTGCGGGTTTCTCGACTTGTAATTTCTGGCATATACTGTTAACTGACTGATCAAGTAATTTCAATTCCTCCATCCAATCCAGACCCAGAAAATTCAATCCTGGTTGATCTGTCACAAAACAATTTGTACGTATGTGCTGATCATGGAAACTGACCTGACAATGCAACTCTTCGAGAAGTTTCAAAATACCGCCGGATGCGTTTCGTGCTGTGTGGTCTGTGTGGACAAGCGGTGATCGTCTCAGCATACACCATGTGACTCGACAAATCAAAGTGGTGTCTGATGCAATATCCAGCTGCAGCTTAACTTCCTTGTCGTTGATCTTCAACATTGTAAACTTACGCCTGTCGACACCGTCAATCTTGAAAGTCACCGTCACAGTTTTGGCCTCGTTGTGACATCGGAAGCGCACCGGGATTCGACGCCGTATTCCGCTCATTGTTGGCCACTTCGCAAAACAACACGACTCTTTGTGTCCTCGCCTACCATAGCGATTGTAAATGTGATTTCGGAACGGGCAGTTTCGACCAAAGTGCCATTCCCTGCGAAACCAACAAGCAGAAGAGGGTTTAGAATGTGGTGAACTCACATGAACCGATTCTTTCTGAGGACTTCTGCTGACCCTGCAAATGATGTCCTGACGGTTGTTACGTGGGCAACCATCGGATGATACGGTTTGAGAAATCTGGCCGTCATTTCTGATACGTTCTTGACATAAGGCAAAACGATCCGTTACTTCATTGTTGATTCAGGCGTGGTATTTTCAGCCCTGCAGTCCAAGTGTCCCCCGATGAAACTGTGCGGGTATCCATCGCGCATGAGGGACGTAAACACGTGTTTCTCTTCCTCTCGCTTTGCTTACTCAGTATTGCAATGTGACTCAATCCTGCGAACTAGGGTCATTTTACCGCTTATTTTGTGACAATTTGGATGCTTGCTGTTGAAATTTAGGATTTGGTCAGTATGAGTGCCCTTCCTGTAAAATGATGTTTGTATTTCTCCGTCTATTGTTCTGGTAACAAGCACGTCTAAGAAAGGTATCGAGTTATTTGCAGGGTAATAGCCGATTATGGTGCGGGGCTATGAAAGCCTCAGGGAAGCAGTCTTCTGTGCTGTTTACAAAGTGTAATCACCTTGACCCACTCTGTTTGCTTAGAACATTTGCTATTCCCCATTCTCTAGGTTATTTTACCTGAAAGGCAGCGAAGCATTTGTTCAAGAGATTGTGGCATTGCTGCCGCTGTTGGTGTTGTGCGTCTTCCGACCGCCTACTTTGCCTTGACTGCAACTGCTTAGGTAAGGTTTAAAGGGTTGCCGAATGATGCTAGATTAAACCAACGCAAATACTTAACGGTTTAGTGCTTTGGACGCTTTGCTGATACCCCAGCGAACACTCACCAATGATACTTATATATTGCGTCCGAAATCATCATGAGTGACTCCTTTCTTTCGGGAATCCCGGATCAACGGGCGACCACCATTACTCATCCATGCCGTCACATCATTTGATAGCGGATCACGGAATCCAGAAGGCCACATTAACAGACCAGGGTCCGTGCTTTGAGAGGGAGAAATTAAGGAACTGCTTGGAGAAACAGTACCAAGGAAGTGCGGACACCCCTGTATCACCCGCAGACAAATGGCTTGACGGGGTGTAAGAAGAGAACGATTAAAGTGGATAACGACAAAGGAGGAAGCTTTGACACTGCTGTTGCTGACCCGCCCAGCATCCAAACAGGCCTCCACAAAGAAATCACCATTGCAATTGATGTACGGTCGAGCAACTCGCCTACCAGTGGATCTAGAGGTTGGAATGTGGCTAACTTGCCAATTAGCTCCCAGAGGCACAAGGTAACAGGAAGGCAGCCCACCGTAACCTGAAAGCAAGTCAGGCGCAGAGGATGGAGAAGTCCCAAACCAACAATGGTGAGATGAGTGTCGAGTTGCCGATCGGTTCGAAAGTGAAATACAGGGACCATCAAGACGCTCACACTTGTGGCCCAGATAGAAGAAATTCCTACCGAAGTGGAAGGGACCGTACGAGGTGGTCAACCGGCGAGGCCCAGTGTATACAATCGCTCGGCAAGAAGATTCACGGCGAGTACATGCCAGTGAGCTGAGGAAGTGGCTTGAGGTAGAGAAAGAACCCATTTCGAACAGTGAGCATCCTTGGCGATCAGAAAAACTCCGAGCGAAGAGAGCTGGGGAGAAGTACGGTGGACTAAGAGCAGACACTACTGCACCAGTTATCAGTAGTGTGGTGCAAGGATGCGAAACAGCAACCAGCCAACAGCATGCCGCAATGACTCACCCAAAACAAAGGAACACGTTGGAACCACAGGTGTACGCGCACGAGGAATAGGCGTATAAGCAGTGCACACCACACAACTACTAGACGCAAAACGAAACCTGCGCCATGCAATCTCCAACCACGATAACGAAGATGGATGGATGTCTCGTTCGTCGGAACGGATACACCAGTATTAGCTATCTTCGCACAATAAACAATTTCGCTTGCGCCTCGGGTTCTTACAATGAATGGGTTGGTCAAAGCATCGAATAACGAGCCGTAGTCGATTATTGGTACCGGTCTACAAAAATGTTCCAAGACTGAATTCGGCCAAAGTAAGCATGACTTTCCAGATGAAATGTACGTCGAAATTGCACATCGAGTGCATAAGAGAAATCAGTATCTCAGAAAGGTCCCGGCAGACCCACCAGAGTATTCTAAATACAAGCAGAGGGAGGTCCAAAGGGAAATAGTGTCGACAGAAACCTACTGAACGGCGAATACTGAGTTGAACCAATTCGCGGAGTCAAACCAAATTATATAAAAGATGCGGCAGAAGCGGCTTTACAATTTGCGCTGCGGATCAAGTTCGGCATCCCTAGTTTTACAGCACGAAGGTGGCTAGAGGCCACGCAAAGCCACAGGCGAAGCGCAATCGCCTTGGTTTCAGCTCAACATACAATGCAAGCGAGTGGAAGTTACTGCTGAGCACGAGACGAATTGGCTGTCCCATTTTGAGAATTGTGAGTGAAGTGTCAGTAATGACGGTGGGTGTGGCAATGGAAGCACTCACCGATATATTCCGCCATTCGTATCAGCGATTCTACGCAGACTTCGCAACGAAACAGATAGGCCCTATCACGAATCTTTAAAGATCACAGATGGAAGAAGTGATAATGTTTAACCAGAAGGGAAAACAAGCGATACCTTGCGGATAAAGGTGCAAGAAGGCAGAAGCACCGCTCGGTTGGCAATGGGCGACAGTCAACTCTCGTTGACTGAAGTAGCTCTGATAACAATGAGAAATTGTAGATGAGGAACTTGCTCAATTTTTCGGATTTATCAAGAATACGTGACAAAGAATCATCAATAGGCAGAAGTAGGATTAAACTGGACAGTTGGAATTTAGAATAGGTCAGTACGTATCCAGACTGCCAGGACTTAGTTGCCTAATAATGAACAAGTAGAATTGCATTTCAAATATGCAAGTTTACAAAAATCGACTCACCAACATCGCAACCAGAGATAGAATGGCAGTGTGAAGTGGCGTCACCGTGGGAAGTATCACATATTTGTTTTCGCCCAATAACCCAGATGTTAGGGAGCCGGTAATGGTGTTTATGGAAGGCCATAAGTGAAAATAATTGTCTAGAATAAGAAGAAAAGAATCGATTGAGGGCACAAAGCGAATTACTGCCTATATATCGAAAAATGGTTAGAAGCCAACGTTAGGGAAACAGTTATATGCGGGTCTACAAGCTCTTTGCTTCTATTGCTTGCGAATCATCAGCAACAGCAACAGAATTATATCCATGTTTAGTATCAATGCTTAAGTGATAAATGACCACGAGAGTTTCACTAATAAGGAAGTGTAATAGTTTCGGATCTAGCGCGAAAAAGGTTGTATCCGAAGCAAATTTTCAGGAGGAAAGCGATTCCACTCTATCACCAAAAAATAACAAACAGATGGCCATCTTGTGAGGTGGAAACAGTGAGACAGCATTATTGTGGCGTTCGGTGCACTCTCGGAATGCCGTAGAATCGTGTAAGGTTTGACTCATGAGTTTCATTTTTGACACGTGCCGCCTTTGTAAATTGATCCAGCTGTTGAATACTTATCAATGTCCTGTTCATTTTGTTCTTTAGTTGCAGTGTCTAGTCGATTTCGATGCATAGAGGCGTTGTAGTGTCTTCCAAAAGCTGTTGCGCCTATGCGATGTACTTTGCCTTACTCATGACAACTATCATGCGTCTCTTGTCTTGAGTAGGGTGACGACTTTCACAGATTTTAATGCGTCCTTGCTGTGTTAGAGAGTTGAGTTGCTTGTGTGTTATAGCTTGGAAGATCGTATGCCTCAATTAAGTCCTGAACTCTTCATCAAGTTCACTGGACAGTAAAACGCTTTCGAGTGCAGCTAGCAAGTCAGCGGTTGTGGTGTCTTCGAAGTCGTAGTCGAGTCTTTTAAGGAAAAGTTGCCGTTTAGCATTAGTGAGCGCGAAATTCAAGTCACAATGGAATTCAAAGTTGTATGCAAGCTCTACTTCATGAACATGTCAGTCACGAGGATGCTCTACGGCGAATTACAAAACTCAGTTTAAAGAAAAAAACCACATCTACCAACCCCTAATTTTCAATAGCAGCCATGCAAGTTGTCGTAAAAGTAGCTACACGTGGAATCTATTTCGCGAGATAGAATCATGCTGCAGTATTATAGAAACAAACGGGAAAGGAGAGCACCTGCTCACATCATCTTTAAGCGACGCAGTTCCGTCTGGATATATCTAGGCTGCAGGATTGTAAACGTAGAAGCTAAGCCAGCTAAAAAGAAACATATTCGAAATAACAGTTCAACTACTAAAGCACACCACCGGAGTATGGCTCACAAAGCCATAGGTACATTAAGAAAAATCTCGTCAAGAACTAGAGGAAAGTCAACAAAGGAAATTTGTGTACAGGATACGGTGCCAAAATTGTGGAAAGAATTGTGTAGGCCAAGCAAGAGAAAGTTGTCAGCGAAAATAGAAGACTAATGAGCAGATAAAAACCATTGTGCGACGTCTCCGGTCTCGATGCACGTCAATGAAAAAGGACACACCTTTGAGTATACTAAAACAGAGATTCGAAAGAGAAAGACGAAATGGAAGAGGGTTCCTGAAATCCTGGTTTTCACAAGATGTTCAATAAACAAATGGATCGATATCGACCCTGTCCATAAACAAATGAGAAACAATGAAATCAGGCGAATCGGAAGCGCCAGTCTGAAAATACATGGGGAATCAGACCGGCTTTTGTAACTGTATACGCCGCCAAAATGGCTTTGGAACGAGTGGGATTGAGAGGATCCGCTCCAGATTACAATAAACTTCACCGTGGGCAGTGGCAGCCGCCCAAGCATCTTTGAGTACAACAAATGACAACCACAGCGGTAGAAGCACGATCAGTAACATAAGAAATGTGAGAAGCAGCCAAGTGGCCGACGGCATTTCCTCCCAGACTTGCATAAGACCCCTTGCTTACAAGCAAAGCTACTACTAAGTATGGGAGATGATACCTCGATTGGTGACGAAATGTCTGTAAGCGAAATGCCCAGTTCTGCGAACAGATCCAACATTGTAGTGTAACAAAGTCTTCAACGCAAGCTGACCGCTTGGAAATCCGCGGTGCAAGTAACGACTGTGGTGTCGCTTCATCCATAGAATGAAGGTTGTCATTGGGGCTTGACTGACACTCTATGAACCCCAATCGGTAGAGGAAAACGTTTTAACACCAAAAGGCAGTATAGTGTCCCTGAACAACCCTAACTTTTAAGACTCGTTCACTTCGACTTGCGAGTAGGAATCAAATGAGTCCAAATTAGTGAAAAACCCTGTTCTATGTTGATTTTCAAAAATCGCCTTCATAGAAAAGTGACGAGAACTAACTTGCTATCATCGGGATACCATCAGTGGAAAAGATCTACAGTCGAGTAGCACGATTTGAATCCCCAGAATAAGGGAGAGACACCTGATATGATTAGGGGGCTAGTGGAAATTGCTAGAATTTCTCTGGTAGCTCCCAATCGACATCAGAGATGGGCATCGAGGATCACGGTACCTGACGTTTCACCATTAAAACCGGATAAAAGCTGGGACATAAGGTTAAATGTAATTCGCTGCCACATGTGATATCCGAGTGCTTTAAGCGTCTGACTGGTAATCCACAGGTGGCCGGTTAAGGCCTGCGCAGGGGCGGCCGACCTCATGATATCCCTGGCTCGCATGCGACTAGTGGTGGTCGTGTTGCAACGAAGCGCCAGTACAACGTGCATGTGCATTGCTGGTGCTTTTTCTGTATTCTACCGCAACAACTAAGCCATCAGTAAACAAGGAACCACAGCTCTGTTCGAGTTTATACAAGGTGAAGGTCACTAGAGTTGGTGTGTGAGACTCTATGGAGCTGTACTCTCGTGCCGTCACAGGTAACATTAAAGGGGTGACCCGAAGTTCTGGTATTGTTAACCCGACCCACGTCACATTTTCGACAACCAGTGAAGTAGCACTCATCATTGAAGGTCAAGCTATTCCTTAGGCTTCAGCCCCCTGCTAGATGTGCCACGTGCAGTATGGTGCAGACTGCGTTTGGGGCAACGCACGATCTATCCAGGTACTTGAAGACATTAGGGGGATTTCGTAGATTGGAGTCAAACTGATTCGTCCATGCAACGAGCATACTACGACAGTACATCAGTACTTCATGATGTTCCGTAAAACGCGAAGGTAAAAAAATATGATAAAAATAGAGCCGAAGTAGGGGATCCTAGTGGAAAGCGCAAATGATTGACGCAAGCGCTCTGGATCATGGAAACGATATCTTTAACATGAATCAATATCAGAAATCATTCCAGGGTAAAGAATTCTTTTCGGTAACTCTCATCACTTTCAATGGTGAAATGTACCGTCAGATTGATGGAGTGGCCATCGGATCTCCTTTGGGGCCGCTGCTGGCTGATATATTCATGGCGAAATTGGAACATGGCCCACTTGCAACGCACATCCGTGAAACCGAAATGTACGTACGGTATGTGGATGACACCTTCGTACTTTGCAAATCCGAGAAGCATGCGGAACAGTTGCTGAAAGCTTTCAATGACGCACACAAGAATCTCCATTTCACTTGTGAACATGAACTCGGAAACCGGTTACCTTTCTTGGATGTAGAAGTTATCCGTAACTCAGACGGATCATGCAGCAGAAAGGTACACAGAAAGCACACATGGACTGGGCAGTACACTAACTTCCACAGCGCAGTACCACTACAGCACAAGCGGAGTTTAATCAGATCTCTCGCCTTCAGGGCGCGCAGTATTTGTACACCGGATACCGTCAACGAAGAACTACAGGGAATCAGCGACGCCCTCAGGGAAAATGGCTATCCGGATAAATTTATCATGAAAAATTTGAAGGAACGTAATCGAAAGCCACCTAGGAGCATTGCTCCTAAGAAAGAGCTTATCATACATATACCCTTTAAGGGCGATTCTGCAGTTGACATGTTATCCAGACGCCTGAAAGATGTTGTCGAGAAAACTTATTTCGCGGCCCGCCTGAGAATCGTTTTTCACAATAAGCCGTTGCTTACAAAACCCTTGAAGGATAGACTACCGCCGTTGACCAGTTCAATGATCATTTATCAGTACTCGTGCTCCTGTGGTGCACGATACGTGGGTCGCACGACGAGACGCCTATCTCAGAGGGTTCGTGAACACATCCCGGCATGGTTTTACAGAGGCGAAATGAGGTCTTCAGACAGCTCTATCATGTCGCACCTCCTTGAATGTGGCCATACAGCTTCAGAGAATGACTCCAAAGTCGTTTACTCATTTCCTGAACACTTCTCCCAAAGATTCCGCAAACAGCTCTTATCCATCGCCGAGGCTATGTACATTCACCATCTAAAGCCGGAATTATGTGTCCAAAAACGATTTATACGGCCGATACTACTACCTCGGCCAACGGACACCGTTACTTAGTTATTTGGACGTCATCTTACCTACTTAATTACATTGTACTAATGGGCCTTGTGTACACATGTTTATTTAGTTTACTTGGTCTACCATCTCTGTCGCAAGTTATCGATTTTGGTCATTCAAACAGTCAAGAAGTCAATCCCAGCCCCAGTTGACGCTATCTTCACAATTACTATTATGTAAACGTTTGGGTCTGATGAGAGTTACCGAAAAGAATTCTTTACTCTGAAATGATTTCTGATATTGATTCATATTAATGAAATGGGAATCTTTGCTTTGCTGAAGATCAGCATTGCCCGTGATTCATTGAAACGATATCTTGTCAACACCGAAAAGTCACAGACAACTACTCATCATGTGGATAAGGTGGAATCGACGAGACTCCTTCTTTGCAGCCTTCGGTGCCCCACTTGATAATCAGCCACATTTCAGAGAAAATTCAGCACAAACCTAGAGAGGGTCGGGAAAACCCCAATCTGGAAAACGAAAGGAGCCAGACATACTCACTTTTTACTAATGAGTAGTGCGGATTTGGCATGATTAGAGATAGTTCATCACAGTCCACTCTCAGTGAGGAGGCTTTGGCTAGTCTGGAAAAGCATCAGACACCAGTGTTTCGGCATTCTAGGTTTTGTCAGTGGT